CAAAACAAAACAAAAACAAAAATAAAAACAAAAACAAACAAAAAAACCCGCCATATAAGTAATAAAGCGTCCACTACAATAGTCCCATGAAGCTATGCGTTTTGCAACCGTTAAACAAAGAAATGATACTCTAGGSAATGAAACATGGTCTGAAAAAGAAAGGTCCAGGAAGGTAACAAATATTCTTTAACTCTWTTTTTTTTTTTTTTGAAATATTAAATTGTATTACGTTCAAAGGAGGAGCCAGCGAAAATCAAGAAAAAGTTAAACCTGAAGTACAAGGTCTTCGGTAAGAAGCGGTCAGAGGATTCATTCATGGACGCAGGCACGATCCTGGTTTCAGCTGTGTTCAGACCAGTAACATCCGTCAGCAAATCAGGTAGGTAGTATATCCTAGCTGGGATTCCTGTGGAGGGCTATTACCATCCGTTAGCACCTCATGTGGGTAGTGTATCCTAGCTGGGTTCCCTGTGGTGGGTTATTACCATCCGTCAGCAAGTCAAGTGGGCAGTGTATCAAATTAAACTACTGGGCTACCTGTATTATATGCCGGTTTAAAAATCTTTTATTTTATTTTTTTTCGTATTACAAAATGTGACCGCGCTGTTCCTACTAAGGTTTGAATAGATCTTTTTCGAGATATGAGAGCGCTGACAAAAGATCGCATGCTCAGATTCGAAAACGAGGCATTTTCGGACAAAATTGTTGCGCGGGCTTTGGAAAACACATAAAAAACTACAAATTATGACAACGAATGGGTATATGTTCTCTTCAAGGGTTTTAGAAATAGACTTAACTCTATGTTTTCCATCTTTTTTTTTAATCACACTGCCCGAAGATGCTTCGTTTTAATGTCTGCGCCTGCTATATTTATGAAAGTCCTCACGCATCTTGGAAATCGTCTATCGTTTAACATTTTTTCTGAATTGTTTAAAAAAAAATTCTTTTTTTCTTTTTCGTCGCSGACTGCTAGAATCCCACTTACCTTAGAAGGGGGAATTTCTCATAATTTGCTTTTACTTATATTTTTCTTTTCTTTTCTTTTTCTTTTTTATTTGTTGGCTTAAAATGTTTTATTCTCATTTTTTTGCCCGATATCATTTTTCTCCCTTAATTGTTCACTTTTTCTTTCCTTCTTTCCTTCTTTCCTTTTTTCCTTTTCCCTTTTGTTCTCTTTTCTGAACCGTTTTGTGTTTCCCATATACCTCATTAGTTCAACATCTATCTAATATTAAATCCCTAATTCAGTTCATCGTATTCTGACTTGTTCTAGTGTCCATTGTTCATTTAATCCCAGCAATGTGTATTAATCCTCTCAAAAACTATCAAGCTTTCCTTTCGTCTTGATGTTTACTCTAGCTTTGCTGTCTTTACGTCCTATTTTCGACCTTGCGTTCGTATTTCCTAGACGGAGAAGAGCTAATTGCTCTTTCGTACATCTTGAATTTTCCAAAGAAAAATCAATGGCATGACTTTAGAGTAAACTGCTCAAACTCATGCTATCTTAAAGGCGTGTATACCATTTTAAAAAGTGGCAACTCATGAGGAGATAGAAAGCATATTATAAAATATTGTAAAATTGGAAAAAGGCAAAATATTCAAGGGATTTGTTTTCTTCACAAAGCTGGTACTTGGTCCCGTTCTATTTTCTTTTCTTCTTTTCTGTTCTCTCGTAATTCTTTATGATTTATTTTTTTCTTTCCTCTTTCGTTATATTTCTTTTTTTTCTTTCCTTTTCTTCTCTTCTTATTTTTCTCTTAGTCTATTGTATTATTATTGCTTTCGTTTCTTTTCCTATTCTAAACCCTTATCACCAATATTTCCATAGCCAAAGAGGGCGACTTGACTTCCATCGACAACGGAGACGTCATTGAAGATATCAACGTAAGTAATGTTAAAAGATCTTGTAAGTAATAAATACCCCAAGACATGTCCTCACATTAACCATGATAAATGTCTTTGCTATTTTCAAAACCATTGAACTCACTACCATCCCAATGCTCAACAGCGCCAATATCATGGATTATTTCTTCTGAGTGAGAAATATTTTAATGCGTATTTAAAGGAGCCTTATCTTCGGGAGACCGGGCAGTATTTAAGCCACTACTGTTGATTCCAGAATAGAGTATCTTTAAGATTTTGTGATTTTAGGAACACGCCAAGAAACACACGCTGAAGAGTAGCATGAAAACGAAAAGGCAAATCGAAGAAATGATGCTCATCAAAGGTCAGCTTGCTAAGAGTTTGTTTGAGTTAATTATGGAGAGGAGAGGAATTAACGAGTCAGGGAGAAGATCACAGAGAGAAACGGCTAAAAAAGACTCAAGGGACAGAGAGAAACAACGGAAACGTCTAGAGAGGGTGGAGAAAAATCATTCGTTTGATTGAGGAGGGAGAAATTCGTAAAAAATAGGGAAGAAGGAGAAAATGGAATAAAAAATAACTGAGGAGGGAAAATATTCAGAAAAAAGTCTTTTCCTCTCCGTTCTATATGGGATTCAAATAAATATTGTTTGGCTTCAAATCAAGAATATTCACTGTAATACTAAAACCAACTTGGCTGCAATGGCTGAAAGATATATATTTTTCAAAATTGTTCGTTTTCGTTCACAGAGCGAGGAGTACTCGTGGTTACTCTACTACAAGCTAAAAATCTTGTATCCATGGATAGCAATGGTAGGTACCTCGAGATAAGAATATTGTAGGCTTAAATTTATTTAAGATTGTCGACCGAAACTGTAATTGTTAGTTCTCCCCTGTGCTTCGAGTGTTTTCTCATTGTTTCTCTTGTTTTCCCTCTCTTAAGAAATTTAGAATTTTTATAGCATTCATTTTCTTTCAAAGAAAGAGTTTTGATAAAAAATAAATTTCTTATGCAGTTTTATTATTATTTTCACAGTAATACTTAAGAACTTCGTTCGTTCGACTCTTGAGAAAAAATTTTTTTTCTTGAATAAACAATTTTCTCTTGTACACAGCTTATTACAAAGATTTTCTAAGGGTTAGCCTCTTATCAATAGAGAGTTTTAGATTTACGTTCACGGCAAACGTGAAACGTCAGTT